CACAAGTGCTGCCTCCGCGCTTTAGAGTTTTCTGAGCAGCGCTTGAGTGAAGCTAGGCAGTTGGCAAGGGGATGTCAAGGATGCTGTGAATGCCTGAGTGGTTCGGCGGCCGTCTGATCAGCTTTCGTGCAGCCCATCCCAGGGTCTGGGACAGGCGTGTGTTTGGCCTTGTCCGAATGTTCACATTGACACAATATGGCCTACAGAAGCAACTATCATCAGCCACAGTTTTAGTCAGTTGGTCTGTTTCTCGATTGCTCTGTTTTTTGTGCTTGCTGCCTGGCGTGCGCCTCAGGACGTGTGCGTGCTAAACTCATGCGCGAGCAGCGAAGCTTGCGTTCAAGGTGGACAAGGGAAACACAATTATGCTGCCTTTGCAAGGCATGCTGTAATTCTTTGCACTCGAACGTTCCTCTGGGCTGGCTTGGGGAAACACGAAACATATGTTGCCCAACGCATGCGCCCTTTCAGCTACAGTGCTAGCCAGGAACCTGCTCAGTGTTCGGCGCTCGGAAATCAGGTCTTGCTTTCAAAAGGGGTTCCTGGCAATAGCCTGTATCAAAATGGGGCTCTCTAAAATAGCACGATGTCCTTCAATTCTCCTTTAGAACGGCCCAAGGGCACTCCCAAAAGACATAGTTTGGGACTCTTTGGTTTTTCTGGGGGCGTTACTCTTACCGGGAGTCATTCTTTGTCCATAGCCTGCGGAACTTGTGAACACATGTCGTCGCTTGTGCTGCAAGTACGGTCTCAAGATTGTTGGCCGTGTTTCATGAGAGTCCCGGACTCAACCTTGGCCAAGACGCGAGGGGACAAACAATGTCAAGCAAATACAGATCCTTCACACACTCTTTAAGTGACGGCTATTGATATCCTGACGTATCCGCGTGAGGTTTGCTCCCTGGATTGGCAGCCACACACTCCCCCTGCAGACAAACATGGAATCCAAAGCTTGAAACAATTATTTGTGCAGGAATCGCCTTTTGGTGATCCCCAGTGTGGCTTCTATGTTGTTTTACCGGGGATTAAGCCCGTTTGAATATTTGGCCGTGGCTCAAAATTAAGCAGGAGGGGTTACGCAAGTTTGGTCCATGTTTCCACTTACCAGGGTTCCATTTTGGGTACCGGTTTTTTGAGCCACGGCCATTTGGTAAACATTTACCGCTCAGGATGGACCGGGAGGGTGGCGTTGCCTGCGAGGCCAGCGCTTGGGCGTTGGGCTTTAGCTTTCAGATGAGGTTTGCGCAAGCTTGGGGCTTGAAGCCTTACCTTTGGGCGTCACATCATGGTGCGTCCTGGCAATGTGGACTGTTTCCCTTTCAAGCAACTACTGAACTTTGTATGGGGGGTCCAAGAACGAAAGAAGTATTGAGACGAAGCGGGCGCCGTAGCGGCGCGCCTGTAAGCCATCAATCCCCACCACCAAGATGAAGGGCCCATCAGGAAAAGCATTGTCAGCACAGGTCAAGCCTCATGATGTGCTTGTGAGCAATGCCAAGCAGTGGGCTTGTGTGGGTACAGGCTTCAGAGGAGGCAAGAACCGCCAGCGCAGATCCCTTTTGGGGCTGCTCGTGCCACATGATCGATGGCCATGACGGGCAGAATTTGTGCGCCTCAGTGGGCCCAGAGAGACTGGCCCAGGCACAAAGTGATGCCACGCACTTCTCGCCGCTGGACTGGACGTTCTCAAGCGACGTGACATGGCTTGTGAGTGCCACAGACAAATAGGTTGTTACTGTCAGGGTTGATGCCTTAAACACTGAAAGGTTCAGTCAGCGATGCGAGGGAGCTCAAATCTGCTGTCAGCCATGTTCTCGCAGGAGCGGGCGCAGGCCTTTAGCAAGGCAGGGTATTGCCCCGGGGCACGTAGCTGAAAGTTTGGATAGGCTCGGCCTGAGTTTGCCTTAGACCTAGCCTACAAATGATGTGGCTTGCTGATTTGTTTGCCTTCAAGTTGCTTTTCAGCCATCAACACCTTGAGTTTTTGCAAGGGTTGTCAGCCTGGCCGTGTTTATTCCTAATTCGAGTTTGTCCCGATTGATCCGCGATATAATACCCTTCCTCCGACTAACATAGCAGCTGTGGGAGAGTATCTGTTGTGAGAGGCTGAAACATCAAGGATCCCTGCTATTTTGAGAGCTGCATCATTTGCCAACAGCAAGCCAACTTTCGATTGGCGCCAACTGTATGAGATTGTTTGAGTGCAAATGGATGACAAGAAGATGTGCAGGCAGCCAGCCAGCCAGCGTCTTGGCATGAGTCCCTTGGGGCCCTGACGCGCCTGGCCAGGTGCTGTCGCTCTGGAACCACTACCGGCAATCTCACACCTTGCGCGCATCGGCGCAGGCCAGGGCACAAAATTGCGCTGGCCCATCAGTAGGCTGAGATCCTGGCTTCGGCTCCTGACGACGGCTGTATTGGGCCGGCAATTAGGAATCTCTTATTTGCCCGGATGTGCATTTGAGGCCGGCGTTGTCCAAGCAGCGCTGTGGACTTTTGTGGCTCAGCGGCGCGGCGTGACTCGTTTTTTGGGTGAGCCATGACGTTTCAGGCAGCCCGGCGCGCGCGGCTTAAAGAGCTGCAGGTGTCGGATGAGTGCATCAAGTCCTCCTTCTGGCAAGGTCCTTTGGCTGAACCTGTTTCCAATACTGATGAGCCAGAATTGATGGAGGGTTATAACTAATAGCCAGTAGTGGGCCCCTACTGGTCACTACTACCAAGTCACTCTTGAATGGCAATGACTGCCCTTGCTATGCAAAGTGGCAACTGACAGACTCGAGGCTGTCTGTTTGCCAACTTCTCGTAACACAACTCCGAAACACACAACTCCGAACCACTGAGGCATCTGGGTTTTCATCATCCTTTCTCGCCACTCGCGAGGAGGGCAATTCATGTACGTAACTTTTGCGTGCTTCCCTCTAGACCTGATTCCAACGTCTACTAGGCTTAATTCCTTTGTCCTTTTCCGCATCATCCACTCCCGCCCATGATTGGAGGAGAGCCTTACCTGCAGCTTGCGTCATGCTTGGTAGGGCCAGACTCTGTTTAGCGGTGCAGTGCTTGCTTGGTAATATACAGGGAGGCTTTTTTGTTGGTGAACAAAGCAAAGGATTTGTACTCGCAACAGCTGGTCATGCCCCTGTGACAGGAACAGCCACTTGAAATTCATTTCCCGATTTCCTTTCATGGGCAAGCACTCTCTCCAAGGTTATTTTGGGGGAAGCGAAGGGTGAAGCCACACAGAGAAGACGCGCCGTGTCTGAGGATGCCCGCCAAAGGGGGGCACGACGGAGAAGGCCATGGGCTGATTGAGCCAAGTCCAAGCTTAGCGAACATGACAAGCTGGGAGGTGCAGATTGTTCTGCAAAGAGTCCACCCAGCCTGCCTGTCACCATTCCATTTCTGCGGATCGCACATGCAACGTTGGAAGGTTGCTCATTGCGATGTAGGCCTATCCGACTCTCATCGTCGGCCATGCGTGGTATGCCTTTCAGCTGCCAGGCGGAGCCGGTGCGGGTGCTAATGTACAACGTTTTGGCCGACGCCATGTCCTGTGATGGCTTTTTGGTGAAGCCAGCTCCTTGCCAAAAAGCACTCGGGGTCAGCATGTGGAAGACGTGGAGTTCGAGCACGGAGGCACTCGACTAGAGCACCGTTCAGGTTTTGAAGGACCCCCCAAAGAGGATAAGGCCTCATGTTTTGGTCAGCCAGAAGCCCAACCAGAAGGGGATATTTTGGCCAGCAGGAGCCAACTCAAGCGCATGACCATTGAGAAAGAGTGAAACAGAGTTTCGACCTTCCACGTGACAAGGGAGCGATCCCGTTGCCACCATAGTAACTGACCTGGATTTGTAGTTACCTCTACGTTTCATTCGATGGTTCCCTGGGTCACCTTTCATAATGGTCAAGTGGATTGTCCTGGCTTTGGTCTTGTGAATCCTTGTTAATTCTGTCGTTCAGCGATTCTGCACAGAAAACCAACGGCAGAGAAAGGCACAATCAATGAGGCCGGGCTCACCTGAAGGCGATGAAGGTCCGTTTGGGTATGTCCACGAGTCTTGGGCTCACTGCTTGAGGCGTCGTTCAACACCATCACTGTCAAAATTTGCCATCTCCAGATTTGATTCTCAAAACCCAAGTTTGGTTCTGGGCTGGGGCAGGTTAAACAGGGCACTTCCACCACTAACAACCGCAACCACTTGCCCGTATGGGTCGGTTGAGAACTCGGAACTCCAAGGTCCTGGCGGATTGGCCGGCGGCGCCCGGGCACGTGCCCACCTGCGACGGGGGGGCGGAGGCGCCCTTCGAGGAGCTCTTGAAGGAGATGCTGGCGGCGAAGGCCGACGTCTCCAAGCTCGAGGAGCCGTCGTCGCGAAAATGTATTGTTGCGGTGTTGTTTGTGGGTTAGGCAACGATGTACGGCTCCTGAACATGAAACCCCAAACATGTTTGGTTGGAGACTGCCCAACTACTGGTAGTCTATTGCTATGTATGTAGTTTTAAACGGGAAAATAATGGGGCGGACAATGAAAGTTTCCTGCACAAGCAATATATGGACTGACCAGTATTCTTGTGTGGGCTCAAGTATGTTTGTTTTAGTGTGTCTAAAAAGACTTGTTTTGTCTATGGCCCTATTTTCGGGGTAGTTGGCCAGTGTTTGCCATTTCAAGGGTTCCAACCATCATCAGGAGGATGCAACGACTGGCTCATGCCAATGCTTTATGCTTCACAAGCCACGCATTCCCATCCTGCGATGTGGGAGAGCCCTTTTGGATTTGGCGTGTATTGCTTTTCATTGCAGTTGTAGCGAGTCTCTTTGGCCCCGCGGGTGCCGAGGAGTTTCTGAGAATTGAGAAAAGCGAGTGCCAATAGAAGATTCGTTGTAGACTACAGTACTTCGTGCAAATTTCGGGGCCGAGTTTTCCATGGCAGAAGGAATGCAAGAAGAAGTACAACCGCGAGGAGTCGGTCAAGAACTTGAACGCAGTGGTTGATTGGCAGGCGCACTGCCCACCCCGCTGGGACCAAAAAAACGAAAGGATCCAAAAGGATCCAAAAGGATTCAAAACGGCCTCTTATACAGTTCCCATGGTTTCCCTTGGCGGGTACGTGAGGTTCGGTCGAAATTGCCAGTCGCCCATGATCCTTTTGGGAGGGCAAAAACTAGGCAAGCGGCTCTCTGGGAGCCGTGTAACTGTCACCGACAGCATTTTGCGTGTTTTGAAGTGCGAGAAGGCAAATTCACTGGTATTTGCGGTGTTTTTGCCTCATTTGACTCAAACTTCTTGCGACATGGGCTGTGCAAAGGGGGTCCCCGAAAAGTTCGTTTTTTGACCTAATACACGAGAAGAAGCTGAAATGACCTAGGCTGGAGGCTCCGTCGTGGGATGCTGGAAAAAACATACGTAGTAAATATGCCCAAAATCCCGCTTGTTGGAACACATAAACATAATGCGAAAATGAACGCTTGGATTACACGAGAAGAAGCTGAAATGACCTAGGCTGGAGGCTCCGTCGGCTATGGTGCACATGACAGCAGAAATGGAAGCGCCGCATTCATTGGCCCCCCCCCACCCCTCACCCCCCACCCCCCACCCCAAGCACAGGTGGTCGCAACAGAGAAACGCCGCATTCATTGGCCCCCCCCCACCCCACCCACCGCAACAGAGAAGCGCCGCATTCATTCGCCCCCAAGCACAGGTGGTCGCAACAGAGAAGCGCCGCATTCATTCGCCCCCCCCCACCCCCCACCCCAAGCACAGGTGGTCGCAACAGAGAAGCGCCGCATTCATTGGCCCCCCCCCCCACCCCCCACCCCCCAGCACAGGTGGTCGCAACAGAGAAGCGCCGCATTCATTCGCCCCCCCCCACCCCCCACCCCAAGCACAGGTGGTCGCAACAGAGAAGCGCCGCATTCATTGGCCCCCCACCCCCCACCCCCCCCACAGGTGGTCGCAACAGAGAAGCGCCGCATTCATTCGCCCCCCCCCCCCCAACCCCCCACCCCCCACCCCAAGCACAGGTGGTCGCAACAGAGAAGCGCCGCATTCATTCGCCCCCACCCCCACCCCCAACAGAGAAGCGCCGCATTCATTCCCCCCCCCCCCACCCCCACCCCAAGCACAGGTGGTCGCAACAGAGAAGCGCCGCATTCATTCGCCCCCCCCCCCCGCAACAGAGAAGCGCCGCATTCATTCGCCCCCCCCCCCCCACCCCCCACCCCAAGGTGGTCGCAACAGAGAAGCGCCGCATTCATTCGCCCCCCCCCCAGCCCCCACCCCCCACCCCAAGCACAGGTGGTCGCAACAGACAAGCGCCGCATTCATTCGCCCCACCCCCCACCCCAAGCACAGGTGGTCGCAACAGAGAATCGCCGCATTCATTGGCCCCCCCCCACCCCCCACCCCCCACCCCCCACCCCCCTTCCCAACCCCAAGACTCAGATTCGATGACAGTTACACGGCTCCGAGAGAGCCGCCTGCCAAAAACTAGGGAACTCACCAATTTCCCCCTCTCCTGTATAGGGGGAGCAACTAGTTTTGACCACGACACCTCACGATTTCCCAGCTTGGAGTTCGGATCAGGCCCGAAAGCTGCAGATGATGTGCATCATCGATTGCTTCAGCCCGGACGTCCTGGTTTTTGCAGCTCTGCCCAAAGCGAATGACCTTTGACCCTTTCGAGTTTCCCGTTTTGGTCGATTTGGGTATGTGTTTCTGATTTTGGGGGAATCACCCAAAGTCGGTGGGCTGTTCCTTTGTTTTCTTCGGTTTCCCTTTACACCAACCCCAGAAAGGGTACTCTCAAAGACACACCCAGGTTTTGTCAAGGTACAAGGCTCAGCCCTTTTCTAGGTCCTTCTCGTGAGGCAGAGCTGGACCACTACGATCAGTTTCTGCCGCTCCTACGGGAGCTGGGCTACGAGTCTCAGCTGGAAAGCTGCAAGAAGGATCATCCTCAATACCGACCTGCGCATTTGGACAGCTTCTGCGACAAGGATGAGGCACGTCGCCAATCAAACCTGAAATCTGCGGGACTCGAAGACAACTGCTAATTAAGCCCCAGCGTTTTAGTACTGATGCTAGGCAAACCAATAAAGGCCGTGAGCTGTCTTGTTTTGTAGAAGAACAACTGCAGGCTTGTCATGCTTGCCTGAGGCTTTGCGGAAAGACTTTGAGAAGGAGTGGTCTGCCAGAGGCTTTGGCTTTTTTCCCCACCTGGCGTCTGCAAGCATGCATGTTCACATGCAGAGGACAGGCTTGGGGCGCAAGCGCCCTGGCAAGCAGGTGGAGAACCGGGTGTTGTCTCAAAGGGCAGTGTTGTCTCTGCAAGTGGTTGGCTGGCTGGCTGGCTGGCTGGCTGGCTGGCTGGCTGGCTGGCTGGCTGGCTGGCTGGCTGGCTGGCTGGCTGGCTGGCTGGCTGGCTGCTTGGTTTGTTGGTTGGCCGGTTGCTTAGATTCGTGGGTTCGTTGTGCAAACAAATTTGGAGGGATCAGGATCACCGGTTGGACTTTGGTTCACAGGCAGCGCCTTGGAGCTTGGGGCCTGGCAAATTGTTTGCCATTTGTTTCCGAGGACTTGTAGATGTCGATTCGGATAGTTCATAGAGCTGGTTGTCGGATGTGGCAGTATTGGGAAATTCGGTTCCTGAGAACTCGAGTAAGAGGAGCCATTCCAGCTGAAAGAGGGCCAAGTTTTAACTCACACGGAGCGGCGACTGGTATACGAGCAACTGACAATATTATTGGTAGTCTACCGCCGTTTGATTGGGGAGCATTTGGGGAACAACATAAAACAATTTTCCGCAAAAACTCGATGGCCCATCGGAAATCAAGTATTCAATCAGTCAGGTCCGTTGCTGAAATTTGTTTCTTTTCTTTCTTTCTTTATTACGCCAAGTATATGTTGAGCCGTCACTCTCCTGTGAGTTAACCACATATCCTTCCATCAAGGAGCTTGATTGGGTGAACCCGCCTCTCATGGCTGAAATCACGTTGCCGGGCCGGTTCAACTCTCACAAAGCAATTCATACATTTGTGCAGCTCACACATGTGTCCCTTTTGTATACATATAGTGTATGTTTGTACGTACGTACAAGCAGACATGCCTATGCATAACACGCATGCCTTCAGAATTCAATTCTCACCATGATGGATTTGCAGTTATCCCCAAGGATCCTGGAGACTCTGGACCCCAAGCTTTGCGAGAAGCTGACGGATAAGAAGAAGGGCGGCCTCGCAAGGCCGGTCGCCGGGCCGCTGACATTTTCACACCCCTTGAACCTTTTGCAGTTGTTTTTTTTGGGAGAGATCCGTTTTTGGTTCATTTTAAAGTGGAACCAAAAGGACGCCTGCCATTTGGAGAGTTCCGTAAGTTTGAGACAGACCCGACTTGCTTTGTTTTTTTGAAGGAACTGTCGAATACTGATTCGAGAGCCACAGCAAGGGGAATTCAAGGAATGGTCATGCACCAATAATGATGGGCACTTTTAGTTTCTATGAGGTTGCTATGACTCCCGCTGCCATGGCTCCAAATCGGCATGCCCTCGAAACATGGAACTGGTGGAACTGGAAGTAGGATTCCAACCCCGGGAATTCCATGCATGGCCATGGTCACAAGCTGGGTAGATGAAGAGTAAGGTGTTGGCTGATTTGGCTTTGGCTAGACCCCGTTGACAGGTTTTGATCGTGACTCACCGAAAATTGGCTTTGTCTCCAAATGGGATATGGAACGAACCCCGAAAAGCTTTGTTTTCTTGGCTATAGGAACTGGAATTTCGCTCCCTCTTTCCGCTTAGGGGATGAGGCCACCCGCTTTGGGATGGCTTCAAAATCCGTTTGCAGGCTTCCTCGGCTTTGAACCACCGCATATTGGTCACGACTAGGAAGCAAAGAAAGAGCATCAATTTCAATTTTGAGGAGGACAAAGCATGCCTTTACGTCGAGCAAGGAATGGTCACCAAGCGCAGCACGTGGCCATTGAACCGTGCCAGGACATGGTACCAGAAAGTCCCGCGCGGAATGTCTGAGCAGTTGCTAGAGAAGGCCTGCAGGGAGCACTTGTGGGAGATGCTATGCTCGCCGTGGCGGACTTTGTTTTTGCACCAAGTCTTTGGTTTCAAAGTGAACACACACGCACGCACGCACGCACGCACCCACGCACGCACGCACGCACGCACGCGCGCACGCACGCACGCACGCACGCGCGCGCGCGCGCACGCGCACGCGCGCACGCGCACGCGCACGCGCACGCGCACGCGCACGCGCACGCACACACGCACACGCATACGCACACTCACACAGACACAGACACGCACACGCACACGCACACGCACACAGACACAGACACAGACACAGACACACACACACACACACACACACACACACACACACACACACACACACACACACACACACACACACACACACACACACACACACACACACACACACACACACACACACACACACACACACACACACACACACACACACACACACACACACACACACACACACACACACACACACACACACACACACACACACACACACACACACACACACACACACACACACACACACACACGCACACGCACGCACGCACGCACGCACGCACGCACACACACACACACACACACACACACACACACACACACACACACACACACACACACACACACACACACACACACACACACACACACACACACACACACACACACACACACACACACACACACACACACACACACACACACACACACACACACACACACACACACACACACACACACACACCGCTACCCCGTGCTCCCAATTAATTGAGCTGGGCAAAACATCAGGATATGCCAGTTTGCCAGTGAGTACTGACAGTGCATTGCCTGGCAAGCTGTTGTTGATTCTCCCCGTCAATTTGTGTGCGAGTCTTTTTTTTCAAGGCAAGCTTTTGACTAATTTACAGACCCCAAACTATTGGTCGACTGACGGTGCCCAAAGCTCGAGGGGCGTGAGAGTTGGCTCTGGTGGATCAATCTTTGGGCCAAACAACAAGTTGAAGCAGTCAGGTTTCACAGGTTTTGGTCCACTCGAGTCTACAGCCGCCAAACACCGCCAGCTCACAGGCCGGCGCCATGCCCACGTCGCTGGACGACATGGGGGTGGCGATTTTCTGGAAGAGCTCCCGTTTCGAAGCTCACGAGCTCAAAGTGCAGAGCTTCCCCCTGGGAGGCAAAGGCTTGCTACAGGCTGGAAACACAGCGCGGGGTGTCAATCCCCGTTTCCGGGCCAAAAAAGGAGTGCTTGGAAATCAGGGGACCCCTTGAACGGGTTCTAAGAATTACACGGGTTCTGTCAGCACTGTAACACCCATTTACCGTCACCCAACAAAAGCTGCAAAAGGGCCTTTGCGACGACAAATAAACATACCGAATAGCCAAACTGGTGAACGTTGGCTTTAGTTTCCTTCTATAAGGGGTCGTCAAATTTGGGTATTTGGAGCAATCCTGCCAAATGGAACTGAAGAGACCTGAATGCCCCACAGCCAAAACTCGCCCCCAGCTTTTGGCCACAGCTTCTTTGCTGGCAGATTGTTTCGTACCCTCTTTGCGGAGCTCCGTTTGGTAGTTTGCAGTGCTTCACCTGAGTCATTGTCGAATCTCATCCGGTTGCCACCTTGACAAGCAAGCCAGACACGATCTTAGTGAAGCTGCAAGAGGAACATATCAAAGGGTGCAGTGAAGCCGCGCAGATGACCTCTGCAGGGGTCAGACAATTCCTTTTGCACCCTGATGGTGTTTTGGGCCGCCTATGTTTGCAATTTGGTGGCTGTATAAAACTCAAAGGATGGACTCCTTGGCCCCGAATGATTGGGTTGGCTCCCCTCGGAGAGATCTGGGGGATTCTTTCTTGAAGCCTGCCAGCTGCCAGTTTGCACCAGGTGACGCTGCAGGATCAACAGAGCAAGCGCAAATTCTCAGTGATTGGCTGCCACCTGAGCTCCGGTGACTCAGCAAAGGATGAGGACGGAGCTAGGGCTGCGAGCAGGCAGCGCCTTGCTCAACCAGCTTCCTGGTTCCCTAGGAAACCCGAAGAACATGCGTTTGTTTTGACGAGGCTTATGTGTTGTTGGGGCTTGGCGTATGCTCAAAAGGTCTGTTCAAATGTTCTTAGATTGTTGCTACCTGTTTGCCGACCCCCCCCTCCCCGCCCCCCCGAAAAGAAATTACACATGTATCAGACATTTTGCTACTTCAGGCCGCCTTTGAGGTTCCCCGGCAACTGGGACATGGATTCCTTTGTTTGAAGAAGAACCCGGGCCTTAATGAATCCTTCTCACAGTAGGGACCCCATCCAGGTGGTTTGTTTCACTATGTCTCCAAGTACCATAATCCTGATCCCAGCTGGTAAAGGTTTCTCTTATGGTGGGAGGGATCAGGATTTGGGGTCTTCCAGTTTGAGTCACCCAGGCTTTGCTCCAGTTAGGCCGCTAGGCCAGTCGTTTTGCAAGGAAAGACACCATCACGTGACGTTTCGTGCATGAACCTAGCTGAAGCCACTCTTTGGTATAGCTGTTCAAGAGGGAATCCTCCAACCAATGAATTGTGGAGCCACGCTGCAGAGGTCTTTAGCAGGGGATGCCCCTCTTACGGAGGCTTTCTGGGTGACCGCGTGAAACAACTGGTATCGAAATTGGGATGGTGCTTCTGTGCAACCATCATGGACCTCAATGGGCTATGGCCCTCCGCCTCAATTCTGTACATTAGTTTGGGCATGTCATTTTGATGCCAGGTTGTTCGGTTGACTCACATGGGTGCACCCCCCCCTCCTGCTTCCTCAAACATCACCCTGCCAAACGATGTCTGAAAACCGGGAGCTCTCCAGGAGGGCCGGCTGACCGAGGAGGTGCTCTGCCCAGGTGGACTCTTGGAAGCCGTGCATGACGTCAAGGCTGCGGGCCAAGGCCTCATCCTCTGCACGGACTCGCCCCCTGGCGAAAAGACGCCTGTGACTTTTTCTGGACCCTTCGGACATCATTTAGGAGGAAATTCGTGTCCATCAGCCAGTTTGAAAGTTCCCTATTAAAGTACATAGCCGGCTGAGTGATGCCGAAGTCGTACGTCACGTGGTGAGGTTCCTCTGGGGGTGATGTTTCGGGGTGAAATATGGCTAGGAACTGTTGAAAGTTGGCACCTCCTCAACGAATGGCGGGGGACATACGCATTACCATGTAGTATGAATTAATATGATGTCCGCAAAAGCAACCTCAGGACAAGTTCATACCAACGTGTTGCATCAACGGGGGGTTGCCATACTTTCAAGACTTTGCTGATTTTTCGTATCGCAAACAATGTGGTTTTCCGACCTAACGTGGATGGATATTGCTTGACATTTGCTGTCATTCGAAGCGGGCAGCCCCCCGCCCCCCTCATTTCCCCAACATGTTACTCAAGAACGCGAGTAAGCTTGTACTGAACAACATATGCAGGCGAGAGAAGATTGGACGGCAGAGAAACCGACATAGACAGAGACACGGGTATAGAAGCAGATGCAAGTCCAAAGTCTGGGGCGGACATCAACAAAAGATAGACACAGAGATAGAGACACAGACATAGACACCGACACAGGGCAGAATAGACGCACATAGAGACAGCGACAGGAAGACAGGCCCTGACACAGAGGCAGACATAGATGTCAACATAGATGCAGACACAAACACAAATGCACGAACACAGTCAGATGCCACACACAGACGCGCGCACATTCACACATGCACACCGCGTTCTGATTTTGCGTATTTCTGATTGACAACGGGCATTGATCTTTTCCAATAGGGTGGGTGCTGCAAGATCAGCCCTGCAGAGGAAACCTGTTTGTTCACCGGAACGTTGCTGGGGACATACGGAGCTGTGACATCCATGCAGGAGTTTTATTGGGTTGAAGTGTGCATAGCTCGGCAACAGCTTGAGCCATTTTCGGAACGCACAACCTGATGCAGGCTGAAGGCTTCCAACATGCCTGCTCGTTTTAGATGTCTATGCTTCTAGGATGATTGAGCTAGCCAAGTGGACGGAAGGGACGCAAGCTCTGGAGTGCTGAGGAATTCGCATCCTCAGATCACAGCTGCCGAAACAGAGGGCTCCTGCTGGAAGCATTTGCGGAGAGGCGCTGGCGCTTCGGTCTGGGACGACTTCTTCGATGAGTCGGGGAACCCGCTGACCAAGGACGCCTTAGATCCTCCCGTGACCTCCAACAAGGTCCGCGGCCCCCTGTGTCTTGGAAAGCATCACAAGATATCACAAGGGACTGGGGAGGGGGCATCCACACTTTGCGGGCAGTCGTAAGCTATTTGTTATCAGAGACGAACGCGAGTTTCATGTTCAGGTGCCCTGAGAAGGACTAGATCCGGACCTACCATTCCACTCCATCGCAAAAAAGCAAAAACACATTGCCATGTGAAGCTTTTGGCTCAGTCCAAGGAGCGAGCAAGCCGCAAAGATCGGCACCCACGCGTACTACCTCATCGACCACATCTTCTTCTCCCCGGCATCTTTCCGAATGCTGCAGCACGCCTACGTGCCTCAGCGCTTTCCCACCTCCGAGGCATTGGGCAAAACTTGTTGAAACAATCAACTGCTGGCTGGCCTCCGTTCAAAAGGAAGCGTGTTGGCAATTGTGGTGCAAGCACGGGGAGGTTGGATTGGACGATAGCGGTTCAAAGAATAGTGATTTTTGGAGCAAAGAAGGTAGGTGGTTGAAGCAGTTTAGCGGTTTAAACCATAATTTAAACGAAGGCCTTGAGTCGCTTTCTGAATTTCGTATCAACGAGGCCAACGTGGCAGCTTTGGAGGAGGTGCAGCCGAGCTTGCACAACCCCTCAGATCACTACCCCGTCATCGCGGACCTGGCCTGGGAGGCGGAAACCTTCTGAGGTGCGGAAGAAAAAAGGCGCTGATCGGCGGCTGGAACGGTAGATGCTGAGGGTGCCTTCAAGAGGAAAATGATGCAAACCAAGATGCCTCATTCATGTTCCATGTTTGTTTTGGGGACTGTCGAGGTTTTTCTTCGCGCTTTGGCTTCGCCGTGATGCCGACGTACAAGGGGCAGCGATGCAGCTCCATCCAAAGCTTGCTTGTCACGGACATGGCTCTTTCGGGTCCGATGCCCTCGTTGGGCAAGTGAGTCATTTGGACGGCAACCCAGGACCCTTTTTGGTATTGGTAGAAAAGCACTCCCAACCAGTCGGAGTGGTCTCCTTGAGCATCGGCTGTTTGGTTCAGGTCTCGGCCCAGTGGCTTCCTCTAGGCCTTAGACATTCAGACCAAGGCCTAGGATCAAAAGCCAAACAAAGGTCACCCAAGGCCTCAGTCGGGGGATCTTTGCTTGCTTCCTAAAATGTTGGGAACCATAAAGCCTTTGGAAACTTTGGGGTCTTTTAGAGCCTCAACGGGTCACGCATTTCTCTTCTCCATTGGTGCGCCAGGCAACACTGCAGCGCATGTTGGACTTTGCACTGGCGGACCTGGCGCAGCCGGCGGGGACGGGAGACCGCTCGGCGGGGGAAGCGGGTCCGGCCTTCTCTTGCAGGTTTTGAACATCTGCTTGGCCCGTTCTAGGTGAGTTTCCCCACAATTGAAGCTTTGCGGGCCCTAGCTTGGGACAAACGGAAATCCGGGGGGCGGGGATTGACGCGAAGAAACACGGAGAGCAGGCGGGCCAGCTGGTGTGTTCTGGCGGGTTTCACTTCTCATGGAAGTTGATTGGCATCGGGGGTCTTCAAAGGAAAAGCTAAAAAAAAATCGGCACCCACTTGCATTGACAGTGTAAACTTGCATTTGGGGACTGATAGAGTGTGCATGGAACTTGTTGGTTCCGTCAATTTGACGTATATCTGAAGTGGACTTCGGATAGCTCTTGTAGTTTGAGTGGAGACTAAAGTTGAAGCAACCACATGAATCATAAACCGAGCGTGCCAAGAAATGACACCGCAAGCAGCACCTGAAAAGGATCATGCGACATGTTGATTCTTCTCAAATAGGGGCTTTAAAGCAACCCCAAAAGGGTACCACCACAACAGGCACACCCATTTGTTTCCCATTTGCAATGGTCAGCTGTGCAACAAGCTTTGCACCACCCTTGGAGGTTTGTTGGGCGGCTGGTCTTGTTGCATTTGCCCTGAATGCTGCTAGACCAATGCTGATGCCCGCCCTTCTTGCTTCCGGTTCTGTAGGCTCATTGACACTGGCCATGCCAGCCATTCCAGGCACGCTGCGAGTTTCTGCGGCTAGTTCTAGGCGGAAGCGTTTTGTCGCTGGCAGGGTGGGAGTCCTGAGGCCTTAACATGGCCACAGAACTAGCCGCTGGGCACAAACCCATAGCATTGAAAGCGAGGCAACATGCGCCTTTGCGGTGTTTGCCCCCCCCCCCCCCGGTTATACAAGATTACGCTAAGACCAGTAAGGACAAAGCAAAGTGTTTGATGATGGAACGTTGTATAACATACGTGTATTACATTATAATCGCATATCTCATTTAAGACATATTCGACAGAGGTATGCATACTTTTATTTGTCAACACTCAACAAAGGGTATCACATACCGACACGTGCCTGTCTTGCTGCACCATTAGCCAGCGTCCCAAACTCCGTGCGTCACCATGCCTGTCCGCTTCCTGGTACATTTGCTCGTACATTCAGTACGCTTTAATTAAACATGAAATCGCTGCCTGGTGCTTGGAACCTGAGGTCTGCTCATGTGCGCGCTGATTTGCGATGACAACACCGTTCGATCATGTTGAAACAGTTGCTTCAACAGCCTCCTGTCGGTTTCTCTTTAGAGGGCGCCGAAGCAAATCTGGTAGTTGATAAAATGTTTTCCAACCCCGGGGTCTGAGGATGGTTTCACAAATGAATCCCTGGAGCCAAGAGAGAGCCAAGGATGAGTTTATTATTTGCATATAGTGAGATTCGCAACATTGATGCAATCATATAGTGGCGGAATTCCGTTGTCGACATTTGGCACCGACTATATCAACTATGGACTCACGTATACTGAAGGTGGACCCTCAATATCCCAAAGTACTTCCAGCCCACTAGCATGTGGATTGCTCAAAGGACCAACCGAGTTTGCAATATTCTTTTCAGTGTGCGGATTTGCGGTCTTGTTGACTTCAGCCTGCCATTCCTGCCAGTTACCACAAGTTACCAAGAAGGATTTGCTTTAGTTGGCGCTGGTTGCGTTCCTCTTGACCGCATGTGACCTGCTGTTTGACACGACAGTCTTTTGCGACTGCGTGACAAGGCAGCTGCCCCACTTCAGTCGGACTTTTACATCGTTGATCAATGGTTTTTGTGATGTTCAGTTGTCCAATCCAAGGGTGTTGACCTTTTTGGTTCACACTATTCTTCGTTTTTGTCAGGGTCGGGCCACAAGCTAACCCCCTTTCCAGGTCCTCGGGGCAGGGGAAACCGCTGCCACTTGCCAGGGAGCATGGCTGCAGAAGCAGAGCGGGGAAGCTTGTCACGTGCACGGCACCTCGCTGGCTGAGGGGAAATCTACAACAGATAGCCGTTGATTTGTAGCAGCTCTTGGGAGCTGAGCTTAAAAATCAGATGGTTCGCACCGCGCACTGTCCATTCTCTATGCAAAAGGCAAGGCATGGCTTATGGCTGCCTGCTTCTTGCCTTATTTCAAGATTCTTAGTGTGGCGAGGTGACAGGGTGAGGCTTTGACCAGGGGTTTGGTTGTTGGTTTTACCCTTTGTGCATGGCCGCAAGAAGGTGGGTAGACCAAGTTGACGTCATCCCCAGTTTGTGTTGGAGCCGGGCATTCAGGATATGTTGGTTCGGCGCATTTCCCAGGCCCAAATGGGTCGGAAATACTTGGTGGCCGGCTGGCAATGGCTTTCGCCTCCTGAAGAACAAGATCAATTCCTCGGATCCTTTGCGTGCCAGAATGCTTTTTCCCAAATCCTCAAGCTGGTGTCCGCACCACGCCCTGCCGCGGCAGTGGCGGTATCTCAAAACCATGAACACAGCCGCTGTTACAATCTCGCAGCATGAATCCGTGAACTTTTGACGGGCCACATGAATCGGCCGCAACTTTGAGCCCAGAGATGGCTTGTCGAAGTCTGCGGTTTGGTGACCTAGGCCAGGGCTGCCCATGGAGCGTGCCCTGTTGCGACTTGGAAGCAGTGTAGCGGCTGCAAATGGCTGTGGGTCAAAACCAATGGTACCATTTTACCCATTTTAGTGTATTTTAGTGGGGATTGGTACGGGGCTTTGACCCATGGCCAAATATCAGTGAGGGCGCAGGAATGAAGGAAAGAGGCATGTTGTGCAAAACAAGCTAAACACGTACTGGCTTCTCGATGATGTGTCTTCGCCAGTGGGCCAACACACTCGGGCGTGGCTTGGCACTGTTGTCTGCACGGGCATTTGATGAATTTACAGTGTGGCTTGTTCCAGCGTTGTGAGTTTGCGCATGTTTGCGCCAATGCGGGGTGAAACTACACTCACGCGGGCTCAAGTGACTCACTCACAGTATTTCGGACGACTGCCTCTTTTGAGCTCGCTTCAATGGAATCGCTTTGTAGGTGGAGGATCCGCGGGATGTTTTTTTGCCAAGGTACTTGAGATGTGTGCAAAGATTGGCCGGGGGCCAAGATGCCCATTGCATCCATGTGCTCAAAGCGCTCGATTTTGTCCCCCCACTTGGTTTTAGAGGGAAGTCATGACAACAGAATGTCTGCCAGAATCCAGGGTCACAACTTTCATGATTCGTGCTTTGCAGCCTAGGATAAAAGCCACCCTCCTCGAGTATCATTTGGTGTGCCGCAGCGCCATCAGCAACATGACACCTAGAATGGTGGCATGTGGAAGTGCACATGTTTGGTGGAATCTCAAATTCGACGTGCCTCCGGCGGTTTAGATGAGGCCACGCATCCCGCCGCCCGGCGTTACTTTGTGTGCGAAGGGCCGCAGGCGGCACGCGAAGAGCAGGGGGTGAAGGCCACTCGGGGATGACCCGCCAAACGGGACTCCTTTCGCTTTTCCAGTCCAAACTGGTTATAGACCTCCACTGCTTATGTGATACTATGTGTCTATTTATATACATGCACACTGGCATGGGCATCAGCTCTCTTTGGAGAAAGCGCAACACTTTGACACGGTGGTTTCTAAGATGAGGCGAGTTCCGCTGACATGATATCCGGGCCAACAGTGGCGCGCTTACCGAGGGGGTAAAGGTTGCCTAGATAGGCCAAGACCAGAGGGGTCTTGCGGAGGCCATCATACCCCTTCGATAAGGGGTGGGGGGGGTTGTTGTTCGGGGGGGTGGGGCTCGAATAACAAGTGGGGGGGAGGGGGGGAGTTGTTGGGGGGGGGGGGCTGGAACTACAAGTGGGGGAGAGACTTGTTGTTCGGGGGGGTCGCATAACAAGTGGGGGGGTTGTTGTTCCGGGGGGGGGGGTCGAACAACAAGTGGGGGGGCCAACTTGTTGTTCGCGGGGGGGGGGGGCTCGAATAACAAGTGGGAGAGGGGGGGGTTGTTGTTCCGGGGGCGGGGGGGTCGAACAACAAGTGCGGGGGGGGGAGAGGACTTCTTGTTCCGGGGGGGGAGGACTTGTTGTTCCCGGGGGGTCGAACAACAAGTGGGGGGGGGGGACTTGTTGTTGTTCGCTGGGGGGGGGGGGGTCGAGCAGCAAGTGGGCGGGAGAGGACTTCTTGTTCTGGGGAACAAGGGGGGGGACTTGTTGTTCCCGGGGGGGGGGGTCGAACGACACGGGGGGGGACTTGTTGTTTGGGGGGGGGCGAACAACAAGTGGGGGGCTGGTTGTTGTTGTTGAACAACAAGTGGGGGAGGGGGGGACTTGTTGTTCTTAGTTCCGGGGGGGGGGCGAGCTACGTTGCTCCAACGCCTATGCACATGGGCTGTACTTCCGGTTCGGTGGATGGGGTGATCGGCCGCATGTCAGAGCCACGAAATCTCTCTCGTGCGGCGGCGTTCTTGTCTGAAGGCTTGATTTTCCTAAGCTGGATTTCAGAGCAAAGCGGGGGAGGGGGGGAGTTGCACGACAAGTGGGGTGGGGGGGGGGGGACTTGTTGTTCGGGCAGGGGTCGAACAACAAGTGGGGGGGGGGACGAGACTTGTCGTTCGGAGGGGGGGGGCTCGCATAACAAGTGGGGGGGGACTTGTTGTTTGGGGGGGGAGTTGAACAACAAGGGGGGGGGGGGGACTGGTTGTCTGGGGGCAGGGGTCGAACAACAAGGTGGGGGGGCGGGGGTTGTTGTTTGGGGGGCGGGGGGGCGAACAACAAGTGGGGGGGCTTGTTGTTCGGGGGGGGGGTCGAACAACAAGTTGGGGGGGGGGGCTTGTTGTTTGGGGGGGTCGAACAACAAGCCCGGGGGGAGGCCGGGGAGGACGTTGTTGGCCGGGGGGGGGTCTTGTTGTTCGAACGCGTTTTCGTCGAACAACAAACCCCCCCACCCCCGCTTATCGAAGCGGTCTCGAGGCCATGCGACTGCTGGGATTTATGTTCGTGACAATCTTGTGAAGGTCAGGGTGAGTTATGTACAAAGGTCGAGCCTCTTCACTTTTCTGGGTCATGTGGCACTGACGGGCTTTTATTGGATTTCAAGTGAGTTGTGATTCTCTATGATGGACGCCCTGTAATTCAATTTGCTTCAGTGTTCGCGCACAACATGAGGCATTGTGTCCGTCAGACAATCTTGCTCGGGGTGACAAATTGGCGGTACCAGTCGGCAGGGCCTCGGCCAGCTTGTGCCTTGCCAGGGCCGCTTTTTCCAGAACGACATCCCTTTGCTTTTGCTTAGCTGGCCGCTTAGTTCCGGAGGTGAAAGCAGGGATTCCACTCGAATCTTTAGACAGCTCTGGCTGCCGTGCCTCGGATGTGCAAATGTCCCCCAGTGCTGCACACTTTCCGTACCTCATACAAACCAGCTAATTGTCCAATTCACGCGCTGGACAACCTCTTTTTGAGACCAGCTTGGCTTGGCGTTGGCGTTAGCTGACAGATGTTCTGAGCACCTGCTCTAAGGTTTGTGCAAGCTCTTCCCGGGCAGCCTTTCGGTGCTTTCCTTGCTGCTGCCAGCTTGCGCCCCAGGAATACTGACAACCTTTTTTACCTGAGATTATTACGCCAGATGATGGTTCCCTTACAACGGTATATCCCACTACGGAAAGGGTTAGGATTATGTAGGGAGTCGGGACCCCATGTTTGAACTTGGACTGAGGGGAATCACGGGGGGGGGTGACTGCCCGAACGTGTTGTTTCCAGGTGGTGAATCGCGTTTGCTGGCTGTCTGTGGACTTCTGGGCAGAGCGCGCCGGGATGCCCAGCTCAGGTCTGTCCAGAAATGTTTTGCATCAAGAGTACCTCCCCCTCACTGGCGCAGCATTTGAGGGAGGCAACTTGAAACATCGATTTCCTCTTGAAGGGAGAAGCAGGAGGGGAGGGTCGTCACCAGGTTTTTCGATTGGCTTTGGTTCTCTCCGATTCCGGGCAAGAATTGGCACAGCTGTTAAGATTGGGTATGTTCAGCCTAGATACCAGGAATTTCAGGAATCCCAACTAGTACTATGCTTATGCTCGTGTCGTCCGTGATACAGCGTTTGACTGCATATTCCAATGATCTTGAAGTAGGGGCGCGGGCAAATGGCTCAACGGCCGCTTCAAATCGAATGCGAACAGCATTGTAGGTTCAATATTTTACAGATCAAACAGACAACTGCATCAATGCGAGATATTCAATATTTGTTGCACAGCTTGGAACGGCCGTCAGGTTTGTTTCCGATTTTCCAGACATCAGGGAGCTGTCTACCTCATGCTGAGGCGCCTACCTCTTCTGCCCTTGGTGCGCTGCAGGCAGGTCTGAATTCTCGTGAACCCATAAGGCAAAAAGCAGGCAAGGTGCCTTCGTGCCTCGTTTTTCTTGACCGCAGCCCTTGGCTGAATGCTTGCAGCTTTCCTCCGCGCACTTCATGCATTGCCGTCGACCAGGATGGAACCCGAATGTTTGCATTGATTGGTGTTATCAACTTCCAATTGCAAGTAGAACGGGCTTGACTGGCAAATTATAGCGCGATTCCAAAGAAAAGGTCTCCATGGGGTGAATCTTTGTTCCTTGGCTCGCCAATCACAATTCAGAAGTCATTGGGAGGCGCATCAATCACGTCGTTTTGCATTCCCCGGCCAGGTGGATGCCCTCGTTTCCGGCAAAGCTTGCGCAGTTTCGAGACGGAAGGGTGCCGGACGCAAAGTGTTCTCAGGAGTTTGCAAAAAATGAGCCAGCTTGGCCAGGATTCCACCATTTTTGGGGGCCAATGTTCCTGTAAACAAAGTTAGACCCCTGTCCCCCTGTTGCTCCTTGGGGGCGCGAGAGGGGACGTATCCTCCCACCAACATGGAACATGACTAAAGGTTCCTGGGAGACAGTTTTCCTCAATGGACGCACCAGAGGTAGCAGCAAGTTTCGCTTTCGCAACGCGGAACCCGCGCCAACTTTCGGCGCATTCAGCTTGCAGGTGTCTACATCCGCAGCTTAGAGCTGGCCGCCGGGTTCGCAGCAAACCCTGGGTCTGGAGGTACCACACACATCAACGTGAAACCCACTGTCCGACGGTTTTGTGAGGGAAATGGTCACGGGTTCCAGGTTAGAGGATGGAAGAGCTGAGCATTGGGGCAAAAAAGTACCCTGTACTGGCCTTATGGGGGAAGCCAGGATTACTCAACATTTGGTTGATTAAGCGGGGTTGCAACCCGTTTTAGAGGCACGGCAAAGCTTCTTTTTGGAGGAACACCTCCTATATATAAATGAAGCAGGGGATGATTAATCCTGGAAGGCAGCAGACCATCCTGCAAAATAGATCTGAGCAACCGATCAAATTGAAAATTGCGGGTCCATTCATCCTTTGGGGAGGAAATGGGCCACCCAAGCTTCCCCACAAAATGTTCCAATGTACTTTTGGGTTATCATTCGTCATTTTGGGAACGCTGAGCATGTCGCTATGATTCTCAATGGGAACACTTCAAACTTCAAAATGGCTGGACACAAATTCCCATGTAAATGACATCCACCACAGGGCCCCCGATTCTAACTCACATCTAGGTGGTGGGTGCTTTTTGAAGCGACCCTCAGGACTTGCCCAACTTTTGCTTGGTGGAGCTGTGGGGGAGAACACAGACACCCTTGCAGCTGCAAACTGCAGCCAGGGATCAAAAAACATGCTGGGCATGAAGGGGCCATTCAAATCAGCTTCTATAGAAATCATATTGACAATAATTGACAACCAAACAGTTGTTCTCCCCTACTTCAGGGCTTCGCTTCGCTCCCAAGCGATGGGATCGCTCAGGTGGCCCCTTTGTGCTCAGAGCCCTCACAGGAGACGCTTTCACCTGAAGAGGTGCCCGCGCCTGACACGTTTCGATTGTTTTCGGCAGTGGCTTGGTTCTTGATGGCTTTGCCTTTTTTGAACGAACCAAAGGCATGCCCAACAAATATTTTGAAGCATGGGCCCCCCTGATTTTGAGACAAACAAGTAGTTTGGCCAACCCTCGGACACCTTGAGGGCTGGACATGTGGGTTGCATGGCAGGATCCCTCCACACTGTCACATGCGAACCACTACGTTGCATTTGGGGGGCGGCGGGGGGGGGGGAGGGCATCCTATACGTAGTTTGGGATCTGTTTGGATGATGTTTGGCAGGCCGTCCACCTCATCGAGCCAGGGCCTAGGAGTTGCAGCGGTTGGGATGGCATTGGGGCATCGCAGGCTTATGAGTCAGTGCAGGAGTCCTGTCATTTGCCTCAATTGGAATCAGCGGACTAATATTGTTTGATATTTGCGTCGACACTTTAGAACATGACACTACTCTTCGCAGTTCCCAAGCCGGAACAGCACCGGCTTTGAATGTTTCCATGGAACTTTCTGCTCATGCGCCGCCCGGTCTGCAGCGATAGGTCGTCCGAGTCAGGGAGATATGCGCAGATCTGCACATATCGAGAGGGATGTACTGGGTATGGTTCCCTGCGGGCTTGGCAACTCATCTGTTAGCTTGCCTTTTTGGACTTCGTGAACACTCGCTTCAGACGCATCGTTAGTTCAGAATCTTCACAGTCAACTTCCGAAACGCTTTCCTGTTCACAAAGACGCGTTCCCCGGACACAGCTTGAGCTTCCCGAGCTCTCGCTTGCCATGGACCCCCCCTCCACGCCTCGGTGCGCGCGGTACGTGCCCCGCCCGGTGCGGCCGCACTCGGCGCCCCGGCGGAGCTACTTCGGGGAGACAAAGACGGAGAGGTGGCGCGAGGCCCGCGCTCGCCCCGATGGCGAGGGTGGTTTTGGGTTTGCCAGAACAGGGGATCAAGTATTATATATAGAAGCACCGTTGAAAAGGGATCCCCCAATTTCAGAACACACTCGGCACGCGTTTTCGCAAATACTTTTGCTCAACCATTGGCGGGCTGCGACCCGATGGCCTTGCATGCTGCGCATGGTCAGGTCAACAGATCATGATGGTCGACGCTTTAGTACCAGTCCACCATAGTCAAGCTGCGCACAGCAGCCACTCCTAATGGATTGTGTGTGTATGTGTTCACCAGCACCCCTTTACAGTTTTGATCCCAATGCAGACCGCGTGTTTGACAAGTTGGGGCTTGTTTCAAGCCTGGGTTTGAAAATCAATCCGCATCCTTTTGGGGAAACAAGTAATTTTGACCATGGCGCGTATGGAGGGTTCCCCCAAGCGGGTCCTCCGAATGGTCAACAGGTTGTTGGCATATTTTACGGCTAGCTCATCTTTGGGGATGTCATATGTCAGTTTCTGGACACTGTGCATTTGCGTTGTTCCCCTTTCTCCAACCAACCTTCTTGGAGCACACTAAAAAAAACAGCCATATGTTTCGTCCAGGTTTGGGTCATTTGCGTCTGACTGACACGTTGCACAGGCTGGGGCGATCCGGTGGCCGGCAGTTTCCACGGGCCCAGACCTGTACCAGGGGCCGGATATAGTGCCGATGCGGCGCTACTGCAACAACATGCAGGACGGCCTGAGTTGCAATGTGTTTGGTTACGGGATGCAATGCAAGAGCTTGCGGTTCTTGCACTGCAAACACGCGTGGTTCTTGTTTGAGAGATTGCCACATCACAGCGACGAAAAAGTTGGGTGGGCTCTGAGGGCCATTGGCCAGGATTGGTCTGGGGAGCTCTGGGCGAGATCCCTGCGGAAGCCGGGTGTCTTCCTGCAGTGCCCTGGCCGCTTGTTGGGCTCGGTCTTAAAATGTCTATGGTTCATTTGGGACCGACATGGGGGACAAGCTCTAAGTTTCAATTGTCCCATGTCCTATAGGGGGAACACGTAATTTTCACCATGGCTCATGTGGATGTTTCTCCAAATAGGTGTCCCCCTTTTGCCGATACGGCAGGGTCTGAATATCCAGAACTCCGTTGTCCAAGGCCGACCTCAGAACGCTTTGGGTTTCCCTTTTGGTCAATCTGCGGAGAGCTCACACGGCCTCTGTTTCCGGGTCCCATGTGCAGTGGCCGCAAAACACAAGTGGTTGCTTCAAAAAACAATTACCCCGATTCACATTGTGTGTTGGATTTCGTTTCAGAGCCTGCGAGAAGCCATGATTACTTAGCTGGTTGCGGATGTCGATTTGTTCACAGTTAGGATCAAGGCTCTCTCTTCGAGGGGACCTATCGATTATTTGTTGGAGCAAGGCCAGGGGGATGTAGAGGCCCTCGCAGCCCTGCAGTCAGCCCCAAATGCCTGCAGCCTCTCGCCAAGGCATCCCACATTCGCAGATTGCAACATTAGCGCAAAGGACGGGGATGCTAAATTGCAAACTGTGAACCCACGAATCGCACCATTCAGAATTCCCAGAAGAAATACGAACTGCCATCAGTTGGATATTGTCGGGTCTCTGGTGAATGTCACCAGAGGTGAAGCCTCATGGCTGTAAACATGCGGCGCCTGGTAAAGCGTGGCATCAAGAAGGCACCTGATGCGGATCCTCGGGCATTCTGTCGAGCCGAAGCCCGCTGGAAACTGCCATAGCCACCCATCCAGTGCCGCTGTGCTGGTGGTTTGGGAAGCTCCTGTTCAAGTGCCCCCGTTGTCAACCTCGGCAGGTGGTCATTTCCTTTCTACCTGCCCTCATTGAGGGGGAGGGGATTGACATGAGGCATGAGTCTATGGTCAATCTGGGAAAACACCAGGGGACACTCTAAATTTCAATCCCAAAGTCCAATCCAGGGGATGGAACCCTAATGTTCAAAGGGTATAACAAGCGTCCGGGGCACAGATTTAATGACATGAAGCCAACCCCACTCCCTCCAAAAGTGATAGAAACGTCCTGGTCCCAACATCAAATCATGTTTGAGCCCGTCGATTAAACCATTTGCAATGATACTGTCGATGATGCTCCAATGTATGCTGGTCAGCCGATCTGGTTGCTACTGACCCCCAAAAATCAAACTCAATGCAGCCACTGCTAGCAGGCCACCAGCCTCACATCACACCACACAGAACCACACCACGCACAACACACAAAACCACACCAGACCACACCACATGGAGCCAAACCCTTCCAACCGTCCCCTCCCCACCCCTTCTCACTAGGAGCTCCACGAGCAGTGGGGCGACGTTCTCCCAGTGTCGGCCCGCCTATGGCCCTACAGTGGCGCGACCTCCTCAGGACCTTCCACGCTGCCCAGCCATGCGCCCTGACAGGATGCCTGGCTCCAGGGTTCCATTTTGCGACTGACTACCCCAAGACTCAGACCCGTTGGAAAACACAGCTTTGAACATCCAGACTCGGTTCGGTGCCCGCTCCCGGGAAACCAGCACGGGCGAGTTTGCTTTCCTAGAACAGCGTCTTGGCTAAGATGTGGAACTCGGCCTGAAAGGAACATTCCGGCCTACCTCCAACCACCAGGCAGCGGTTTCATGCCGTTGAATGAAAGAGCAGCGCTAGTGTTCTAAATGTACGAGCAAATGTGCGAAGGTGCGACCAGGCAAGTGACGCATGGCTAATAGTGCAGAAGAATGGCCACGCCTCGTCCATCTCAATGACAAGAATTCGATCGTAGACCTTTGCTTAGATTGCATGGGTATTTCGTCACAAGGGGCAGGATCACGGAGCTTGCTAAATCAAACCAGATATGGTGCAAGCTGGGGGAGCAAATTAGCTCGGACATGCCGAATTGCGGTTCCTGTTCGAACACGAGAGCAAGTACGGTCCACAGAAACAGTGCAGGCTTCTGCAGAAGAGTGTGTTCACTCGCTTTGACTGACATGTCGGCGCTCAAAGGTGTTGCTAAGCAGTGCCATCGCTGGAGCTCAGCAGCTCAGCATCTCAGCTCAGGTGGACATGAAGGATTGGGTGGAACGCCCAGTCGCTGCCGGGAAGTACTCACTGAAGCACATGCATGGCCACAGGTACCAGTGGGACGCCACGCCTCGACACTGCCTCATCGGCCTGCAAAAGCCGGTGAGGTGACCACTTCAGTTGCCCTTCGTAGAGGTTTTCTGTTGAAGGAACAGACGATACATTGGGTCAATCCTGTCGCAGCCCTTCGCGTAATTGAAGGGCAATTTATTTTGGTCACTGCTGATGGAGTTGGCATGGCGCAAACAGTTCGGATGCGCCAAGAAACGGCGAAGGTGCGTCATGGTGCGTCCCTTGTTCGGGTTGCCAACTCCTGGGTGTGTCTTTTTTTACCCCCCCCCCCCCAAATGGTGGTTGTCCCTTTGGTTTCCTTTAAAACCAACCAAATGGGGGTACCCCAACAAAAAGACACACCCCGGATTTTTTCGCGCTCTCCTTGCGGAAGCTTAGAATTCGGAGCCGCCGTAGACCCAATGTTGGCCCAGGGCGGACTCGGAAGGATTTAGAGGCCTGCTCGAGCGTCAAGTCAGACACGCCGTCAGTTTCTTTTCCCCTTTGGAGCGTGGGTCGTGGGCTCTGAGCGTTCTCGAAATCCATGCCTCTTGGCGCTCAGCCCAATCTGGTCAGCTTCACCTCATCTATGCATGGTCTGTCTTGTGTGAGGGGACCTTTTGTTGGTTGGTTTAAACAAAGGAAACCGCCCATTGTGGGATTCCTCTTTTGTGAGACCCCCTTGACAATAGCTCTTCCAAAAGCGGCACCTGCGCCTTTGGAAGGTTTCGGAAGCTGCCAGGTTGGCATGGCATGGACCTCGAATGAGGTGACTTGCCAGATCTTGCCAGGCCGTACAGGTACGGTATAGGCACTAGCGCAACTAGCCATATTGAAGGTCCTGACATCCCACCATGGTTTCAGTAGCTCTGCAAAAAGGAGTTTCCGGGTCTACTCTCTGAGCACCTGACCTGTTTGACGTGTTTCATCAGGACCTTGCAATGCGCTCTACGACTAGTAGTCAGGCAAACCAACTGGCGACTTGAATGTATTCATCGGTGACATTTGGTGAAGGCTGCATTGATGTGTTGTAAACCTGACGTGCCACAAGCAATGCGCCTTGTTTGCAGTAGCCAATCCAAGCCACCGGCATGGTTCATGGCCTGTCAGATCGCTTAGCTGCCCCCTGTGTTGCAGGTTGGGCTAGGCGCAAGAGGATATTACCAACTGTGCCTCAAACTGCCATCCCGTTTGTCATGTTAGCAAGGATTCTTCTTAGCTGGCTTAATGGGGAGAGTAAGTCAGTGGGTCGTCCATGACGAGCGCCTCGCCCTATTGGCTAAGCATAGCGGCATCGGGCAGCGACAACCATTGTCGTGAGAGAGGGGGACCTCGTGCCGTTGGCCCACAGGAAGTTAGATGCATCATTGGACCTGCTGCTTGTTCTTTCAAGCAAATGTCATATTGTTGGCCACCTGCCCGCATCCATGGTTGGTTTTACTTAATCGAGATCAAGTTGTTGCTGGCAGGTGCTCCAGGTTCTTTGCTTTTGCCATGCACCAGCTGCTCATGCGCGGTCAAACACGCTTTGCGCCTCGCCGAGACTGACCCTGCCCCATTGAGTGATAGGGCACATGCAGGGAAACAAGCAGAGCACTCAATGTTTACCTGCAAAAGCAGGCACTCTAGCTACCACTGCGTTCCCCGAAGCCAGGGATCGGTGCGGTTATTTGGGGCAATGGACAAACGGAACTGAGCTGCTTCATATCGGTGTCGGTGCATCCGTTTTCCCCGATGGCACATGGCGCTTTGGGAAGCTCTCTCAGGTTGCTACTGGAGTCCCTTTGCGACCTGCTGCAGCCGAGTGTCGCAGGGCGGCCCATTTGTCCATTTGTCCCGTTGACCCTCAGATCGGGAGGCGATGGAACGCTAGAGGTGAATCAAGACATTTGAGGACTGGGAACAAGTACTTCACAGTTGGCTTCTTCACGATTGGTGCCTGATTGGTGTTGTGCTGCTGGTTCTTGGCGTTCTGCGGCGTGCAGCATACACCTCTTTGTCCTAGCTGGTGTTTGCGGGTCTGTTGAACCGTGCGCTTGGCACACGTTTCGGTTCGTACTTGTACTTGAGCCCTGACACGGGCCCCTAGCCGTTTTTTGCTCCTTGTCTCCAGCGAATACTATCTTAACAAGCATTTAGCACATTGTGACGCAGCAACGAGGTTTATATCAAAGGCAAATTAGAGGCCCCATGGTAGAGCCCGTACAACAATCTCCGATACTTGAGAATGTGATGTTCGCTGGCTTGATCCTGTCTTTGGCTCCTCAAACTCAGCCTAGGGGCCTGCTTGTTCCATTGCCAGGCTTAACTAACTTTAGGTTTCCAGTTCCCCTTTCAATTCTCCGCCCGTTTGAGGTGCAGGCCTTGTGGTTTTCCTTCGATGGGGACTGGCGGCGCCCGCCGCTGCTGGAGCAGGCGTGGAAGATTGGGCCGTTTGAGGGTTCCATTTGTGGCGTTTCCAACAGAGGGTTTATTGTAAAAGCTTCGCGTTGTTCTAACCAGAATGCTTTTGGCCGGCTTTGAGGTACCGTGTTTTGGTTTGCCTTGAAGTGTTGTGTTTGTTTGAGTGAGTGAGTACACCCATGCCCGAATCAATGCTGCCTGGCTTTCAGCAAACTTCCAAACGTCAGGGCATGGTTGGGGGCTACTTCCCCAAAAGTGGTTGGGCATTCCCAGTTCATACCGGGGTGGATCCACAGAATCCGCACGCCATGTTTTCCCTATTATAGTTTCTTCCGCCAGTGTCACTTATGGGGAGGTTTCCAGGCCTTGGCGTGCAAGAAGCCATGCGAGAGGGTTGCAAGTTGCGAACACGTCTCCATGACCCTTCAAAATTGCGCCACCCCTTCATTTTGGGCACGCCATGTTTTTTATTCAGTGTATTGGGGTGCTTGGGAAGTCAGTTCGGTCAGAAGTTTCGCATCTTCCTTGCGCAGATGGCCGGCAAAGCCGTGCAGCTTGTGAGCTCCAGGCCGAATCGGTCGCTTTCGAGTGGGAAATGGTGGCTTTCCTCCGATTTCCCCTTTTGAATCAAGGCCAAACAGGGGACTTCTGGAATTTCGCGTGTGTTAAAAGCCGCATCCAGGGTTCCAAGCTGCATGTGTTTGGCTGGGACCAGCTGCAAAAGGCGGGCCACTTCAGATGGCTTGCCAGTACTCAGGGAGCAACTCGATTTTTCCATGAGTCATTTTAGATGATCAATCATCAAGTTCCCCCAAAAACTATTTATCACAATGGTTGGAGGAAGGGATTGTGTGCTTTCCTGACAGTGCCAGCTAAAGGGGCTTGGACAATCCCGGGAAAGAGACGGCTCTGAGGCAGAATCTCCTGGAAAATTCCAGCAGAAGTTCCCTCTTTGATGCGCGGTATGTTTGTTGGAACGGCTCCAATTTGAGGGCTTTCCCTACTTTGAGACAGATCTCATCGAGGAAGCGGTGCCTTTTGCTGAGTGCCGCCCCTAACACGGCGCCAGGCCTCCCAGCAGCGAGCGACCTTTGCCGGCTCACCTGATGCAGCTTTGCTCCGCAGAAGGGCAGCCCAGCAGGGAGCAGGTCTCGAACACATTTGGACCGCAACGGGTTGTTGTATTGCCTTTTTGTAAGCACTTTTGTGCGGTTCTGCGAAGCAGGTTCTTTACTTGCATAGTTGGCAGAGAAGTTCGGCGAAGCGGGGCTTCCGTACTGGAGCCGTCGTTCCAGACTTGGTGAAGCGTCCGGAGATGGCACCCTTGTCATTATTCTTCCCATGTGTAAGGAACTCTGGCAATGAATGTAAGTTCACCGTGACCGTTTGACATTCGGCGGCTTAATGGAGACTTTTGTTTAGAGTTTTTCTTGTTCCACGGGCTTGCAATGTCGTCCAAGAATGCTTAGGTAATTATCAACCAACTAACCACAAAGCCATAAGTGCAATCCTAGGCTTCTTTGCGGTGCCACTCCAGCTCGTGGTTTGTATGCAGATTGGCCCTAGCTGGTGATGCTTTGTTCAGTGCATAGTGCATAATTAGGCTTGTAAGGGCTTCTAGTCAGAGGCTTGGAGTTGCTTCAAGGTGTTGTCATTCATTGGGCGGCCTCTCAAGGCATTGGTCGAGCAATGGCTTGGACCTTTGGGGATCTTTGGGCTGAGAGTAATGTTGAATGTTTGCATAGGCCCATCAATCAGTCTGAGTCTCAGCAAGTTATGACAAGCTTACCAGGTGTGTAAGTGAGCTCACCCATGATGAAGGTCCTTTACCGGGTGCTTTCCTTATTTCCGGTTTGGGAACTGTGGCATTTTGCCCAGAATCAGTCAATCATCCCGGATGCCTTTCCACGCATTCCTGGGAGTCTTCTGCGTCCAAACCACTTGCAGAAGGGACAGGCTGAAGGCAGTGCAAGCAAGTATTTAGTGTTTGAAAGTATGGAGCAAAGCACAAGTCATTGAGCAGGAATCATGCAGGGTGTTGTCTGGGCAATATTGTGTTTTCAATCGAGGATGCCACTCACATGACCCCAGTCATTGCGAATTCATTCCTGCTGCCAAGGTGATAGGCCAAATGGTTGCAGCCTTCGTGACCGACCATGTCATTGAAGGCTGGGACGGAGACACGCTTTGGTTGCTTGGAACCTGCATTCTTTGGCTCTCTCGCTCTCTGTTGTTGTACAGGGTACTTTATGCACGTCCCCTTTTGTCATCACGCCACCAAAAAGGAAACTCGCCTACCAGGACAACCAAAAGGTATGTTGAAACTAAAACAAAGCGCAGATGGACTAGTGGCCAATAGGGGTGACTTTGTAAGGTACCGGCCGCATATTGGCAAATGAGAAAAGGCAGGTGAGTTGAGCAAGGTTTGTGCGCAGCTTGCCGAGTCAAAAGAGCTGCTCGCTTGTCGTGCAGTTTTACCGATAGCATTGTTTGGATCCCTTGCAAACTCCGGGTGCTTGACACTCTTCGCTGCTAGTGTGCATGTCATCATTCCCTGCCACAGGTTGCGCTTACGCAAATTAATGGGTTGGCCAACAGCACATTTTCCTTTGCTTCCTGCTTGGTATGTGGAGTGATTGACATGCTGTGAGTGAGGTCGTTCTTTCAGGATCATTCAATGCCATCCGTT